TTGCTGAGGAAGACTGGCCCTGGGCTAACATCTGTGCCCATCTTCCTCCACTTTATATGGGATGCCGCCACAGCATGGCTTGCCAAGCAGTGCATTGGTGCGCACCTGGGATCCGAACCGGCGAACCCCGGGCCGCCGCAGCGGAGCACGCGCACTTAACCGCTTGCGCCACCGGGCCGGCCCCTATAATTTGATTTTTAATGATAGCTATGCTTAACAACCAGCCAGCTGAGTTCCTAAAAATGTAATAGGCTTTTGAAAGCCTTATGAGTCAGTTCCAGCACACCACTGTATGTCAGATGGAAATAAGTGTGTTTACTTTACCAAAAGGTAAACAGGGCAGAGGGGACAGGGAGAACGAAGGGGGAAGGTTTGCTACATTAGAAAGGGTAGAATGGGAAAGATTCACCAACAAGATGAGATCTGAGCAGAGACTTGAAGGAGGTGAGGGAAGGGAGAGTGGTGGTGGCAGGAGATGAGGGCAGAGAGGGAGCTGTGGTGAAGGGTTGGGATGGATCATAGGAGACTTTACCGACTCAGCCTGCTCTGAATACTCTGCCTGCCTGGCTGCATCAGAATAATTTGAAGAGGTTGTGAAAAACAGCTTTTCAGGCACCATCCCATTCAGTCAGCCAATCTGATATGCAACCAAGTATGGGAACCACTCCACACCACACCACTTCTAGGGCAGAGAGGTGTGCCTGCAGACGGAGGGCTTAGCTCTGCCTTTTAGGGGTGATGACTGAGCCTAGACTGTGGAACAGCGGCTTACATGCTGGGGCCCAGGGAAGAACCTGAGGAGGTGACTCGGGAGGGAAGACACGGAGGACACTCTGTCTCCTCTCTCCCTCCTGTCTACCCCAATACTCCTTGCCTCCTCTGCCTGCTCAGGCATCCCTCTCCTTGCCAGCACAGTTTCAGCTCTTATCAGCTGGACTCTACTGGACTCGCCTGGCGGGCTGCATCAGAATCATCTACGCCTGCCACTCAGCCCCCGGGCGCCAAGGGCTGGGGGCTCACTGTGTGCGGGCCCTGAGGACAGCAGCATTATAGGCATAGCATGCCTCCCTGCAAGAAGTCCACAGGCCCAGGGTCTCCCAGGGTACCCCTAGAGTATGGCTCCTCCAGGGCAGGGATTTTTGTCTCTTCTATTCATTGATAAACCCCAGAGCCTAGAATAGTGTGTGCCAGATAATAGGTGCCCAATAAGTATTTTTCGAAAAAGTGAAATAAATAGCATTATTTATAAGGGTCATCCAAGCAGCTGCTGGAACACAGAGGAGCAGCCTGAGGAGGCCAGGGAAGTCTTCATAGAGACAGTGAGGAGGAATGAAGGAGGAGTAGAAGTTGGCCAGGCAAAGGGGTGTGACGTGGGCAGGGCGTTCTCAAAAGAGGGGATTTTAAAAATACAGGTGTGGGAGGGAATTATTGTTGTATGTTGCTGGAGTAGAAAGTAGGGGCCAAGAGTGGCAGTGGCTGAAACTGGAGAATTGAGCAGGACACAGACTGCTCAGGGCTTGACCGCCAGGCTGAGGGCCTCAGAGTTTGTCCTGAGGGTCTAGGGGGCCCTGAAGGGCTCTGGCAATTAAAGCAAGGTGGCTAGACTTGGCGCTGGGAGCCTGGCCCGGCTGCCTCTGCCATTCCGTTCAAGTCCATACTTTTTACTCTCACTTGCTTCCCTCCCTCTGGAAGCTGCACCTGCCTAGGCAGTTCATCCTCATGGGTGCAGGGAGTTCTCCTTGGCCAGACTTTGTATCCCAGCAATAGCTCCCAGAGCAGTTTTCCATATTCCATCTTGTTTGGTCCTTCCATTTACACTGGAAAAACCATTGGTGGGGAGAGAGACTTACCCAGTGACACACAGCTGGTAAGTCTTGTGGACTAAATCCAAGGCTCTTGAGTGAGAAACCGCCACTCTTTTTTTTCTTAGTTGTGGTAAAATACACATAATGTAAAATTTACCATCTTAACCATTTTTTTTTCATTTTTTTAATTGATGTTTTAATAGTTTTTAACATTGTGAAATTTTGGGTTGTACATTTTTGTTTGTCCATCACCATATATACGTCTCCCTTCACCCCTTGTGCCCACCCCCCATCCCCATTGCCCCTGGTAACCACAATACAGTTTTCTCTGTCCATGTGTTGGTTTATATTCTACATATGAGTG